GACCTGCTCAGACTCCAGCTTCCAGAGGAGTGTTACCTGATCGCTGGGGGCCTCAGTGTCCTCATTTGAAAAGTGGACATCACAGCTCCTATTTTTATGAATTGGAGAACAAAACCCAAGCTGAATAAAATCAACAACAGTAACACACACACACACACGAACCCAGCCATATCTGAAGCTAGCTCAAATTAGGTCCTGATTTTTTTATTCACCCAAATATATGTTCTAATTTTTCCTCACCCAAAAATATGTTTTTATTGACTTTAGAGTGAGGAAGGAAGAGACAGAAAAAATATCAATGTGAGCCCTGGCCGGTATGGCTCAGTGGTAAGAGCGTTGCCTGCGGACCAAAGAGTCCTGGGTTCGATTCTGGCCAAAAGCACATACCTCGGTTCATCCCCGGCCCCAGTTGAGGTTGTACAGGTGGCAACCAATTGATGTGTCTCTCTCACATCGATGTCTTTCTCTCCCTCTCTCTCCCTCCAGCTCTATCTGAAGATTAATGTAAAAATATCCTCGGGTGACGATATAAAATATATATGGTCAACGTGACAGAGAAACATCAATCAGTTGCCTCCCACATGCACTCTGACTGGCAATTGAACCTGCAGCCTGGGTGTATGCTCTGACTGGGAATTGAACCCACGACCTTTTGGTGCATGGGACATAGAACCCCTTTTCCATCCACATAAGCTAATGACAACTTAACTTCAATCACATACAAACACTCTACACCTTCCCCCAAATCTTTACTTTTTCATGTCGCAAATTAATTTTTTTATGTTGTGTGTCCTTTAACAAATGGTTGTTTTAATATTTTTTTAAAAATCATTGCCTGAGAAAATGTTTTAATTGATTTTTAGAGTGGAAGGGACAATACTACAACCAACTGAGCCACCTGCCAGAGCAATACTTTTGTCTTTTAACTTCTATATGAAAATCAAAAGTGATAACAACATTTCAGTCACTGGTGGACTGCACATATATTGGTGGTATACCAGATAGCTATACCAGGTAAGTGCACACTGTGATGTCCGTACAATGTCAAAATCTCTTAGGATGCATTTCTCAGAACCTATTAAGCAGTGTGCGACTGTATTTAATGTCCTGTCCTTTCAACTTGAAGAACTCTCTTAAGCATTTCCTGTAAAACATTACGCTCAGTGGAATAAGCCAGTCACAGAAGGACACAGAAGTGATTCTACTTATATGAAATATCTAAAACACTCAGACTTGTAGAAGCAGAGAATAGAGTGGTGGCTGCCCCTACTGGGGATCAAACCTGAAACCTTGGCTTATGGAGATGATGCTCTAACCAGCTGCCTGGCCAGGGCTTAAATTTTCTTACAACAAACACACAAACAAAACTCACAAAAACATGAGGCGCAGCGAAACATTGATAGGTAATAGATACATTTCTTACCTTGGTTATGGCCATAGTTTAAACTGGTGTGTGTGTGCCGTGCCCGGTATGGCTCAATGGTTAGAGCGTCGGCCGGAGCACCAACGGGTCTTGGGTTTGATTCCTGGTCAAGGGCACATACCTGGGTTGCTGGTTTGATTCCCAGCGTTCGGGAGGTAACCAATCGATTTCTCTCTCTCCCTCTCTCTCTCTTTCTCTCTCTCTTTCTCCTCCTCCCACCTTCCTTCCCTTCCTTCTGCTCTCTAAAAGTTAATGAAAAAAAAATATCCTCAAGTGAGGATTAACAAAAAAATAAAAATTAAAAGAAGTAAACAAGTGTATGCATATGTCTAAACACATCAAATTGCATACATTAAATATGTGTCATTTTATTGTGTATCAATTGTACCTCAATAAATCTATATTAAAAGTAGAGTACATCTGTGCCCTGGCCAGTTTGGCTCAGTGGTAGAGCGTCGGTCAGAGGACCAATGAGTCTTGGGTTCGATTCTGGCCAAGTGCACGTACCTCGGTTGTGGTTCGTCCCTGGCCCTGGTCGGGTCGTGCGGGAGGCAACCAGTCGATGTGTCCCTCTTACATGGATGTTTCTCTCTCTCTCCCCTTCTTTCCCTCTCTCTCTCTCCTACTCTATCTGAAGATAAATAGAAAAATATCCTCAGGTGAGGATTAAAAAAAAAAAATAGAGTACATCTGTGAACCTTATTATCACTCCTACAATGGAAAACAGATTATTACTATGGACCTCAGTGGGTGGTCATAAAGCTCAAAGGATCTATTATAGGTAAAGTACTTAGAACAGTAATTAATTGACTCTAAATACACTAACTTGCTTCAAGCAATTAACTGGACCATTTCCAGCTAATTACAGAGGGCTCAGGTGACCTTTCACCTGATTCCAATAACTGAAGAGGACGAGAAATTGAGGAGTCACTGCTGCCATCTAGTGGCTAACATCTGAATTTCTGCCTCTGCCGATTCCCGCGGGAAGGTGGTCCCCTCAGAACACACTCACTCATCCTCTGTTGCTGAGCTGAGGTTTCACAGGTTCTAATTTGGCTTGCTCGGCATTGGAGGGGAGGCTGTCACAAAACAGGATGGTAAGAACTTCTGCAGAAGAGAAAGACAACTATCACATGATCTCACTCATTTGTGGAATAGAATGAACTAAACAAACTGCTGAATGAAGTTAACCCAGAGACATAGAGGTGGGGTACAGACTGACAAGCCTGGGGGGGGGGGGTCGGGAGGGGAAGAGATAAACCACGGAACTTACATGCACGTATGCATGACCAATGAACATGGACAACAAAGCTGGGGATGGTGCGGGGAGGAAGGGGAGAAGGGTGTCAATTGGGGGAAAATGAGAAACATCTGTAACAAAAACAAAGAAAGAAAAGAAAGGAAGAAAAGAAAGGGAGGGAGGAAGGAAGGAAGGAAGGAAGGAGGGAGGGAGGGAGGGAGGGAGGGAGGAAGGGAGGGAGGGAGGGAGGGAGGGAGAGAGAGAGAGAGAGAAAGGAAGGAAGAAGGAAGGAAGGAAGGAAGGAAGGAAGGAAGAAGGAAGGAAGGAAGAAGGAAGGAAGGAAGGAAGGAAGGAAGGAAGGAAGGAAGGAAGGAAGGAAGGGAGGGAGGAAGGAAGAGAACCTCTGCAGAGGGTGAGAGTGCGCGCTTTTCCTGACGGTAACAGGGCCTTCTGCACACTGATACAAACCCCAGACACAAACTGCTCCTCCAGCCACAGAAGAGACAGACTCTGGGTGGTACCAGGCGGCTCGGCTAGGGACACACTGTTACAGACTGCTCAGAGCATGTGAAAAGCTAGAGAAACAGCCACCCCAGTCAACTTTGCCCAAAGCAAAAACATCCTTAAGAGAGACAGATGCGGGAGGCCCAGAGGAAACTGTGTGTTAGGAGAGCTTGGAGCCCCCCCCTCCCCCCTCAAGCACTCACTCACGAAACCCGTGGTAAGCACGCGCTCTGCACCTGACCTGCCCTTGTGTGGCTGGTGACGTTGTCAAGGAGATGAGTGGATTCTGTGTGCTAAATGCCCAGGTAATTAGGAGCATGCCTTGTGGTCATAGAAACCCATACTGTTGCCCGGCTGGTGTGGCTCAGTGGTTGAGCATCGACCCATGCACCAAGAGGTCACCGGTTCAGTTCCTGGTCAGGACACATGCCCAGGTTGTGGGTGGAATCCCCAGGGAGGGGCATGCAGGAGGCGGCCAGTCGATGTTCTCTCTCAAGGATGTTTCCATCTCTCTCTCCCTCTCCCTTCCTCTCTCTATAAAATCAATAAAGGAAAGAAAAGAAATTCGTATTGCTATGTTTCTCCACTTCTTAGCAGGATTAATATGCCTTGGTCCCTGGTACAGAGAACAGGTAGCCAAGGACAGGATACGGGCAGGCAGCCAGATAGGCAGCCAGATCACGGGGTGCAGGTCCTGCCTGCCCGGGTTCTTGTGGCATGTCTGTCACCCTCTCTGAACGGTAGTGTCCACCTCTGAGAAATGAGGAAGCGAGCAAACCTCCCAAGACAGCCTCCAGGTGACAGAGAGCAGGTCCGAGGTTCCTCTTCTGTGCGCACTGAAACCCTCTCACCTTCCTGTCGGGACTTCTCTCGCCTCTACGGCTCTTGAGTCCTTGAAAGAGGAAACTTCGACAGCAGACAAAACCAGGGAAGGGCCTGGCACGTCCCGTTTCGAGCTGCAGCTGCCAGGGCAGGGGGGCGAGACCGAGCCTCTCCCCCCAGGGCCTCAGGCTGCGCACTGCGATTTCAAGCTGGAAGTGATGAGGCTTGTGCATCCCTGCACCCTGCACCCTCTCCTGCCCTGGGTGACAGGAGCAAACCTCCACCTGCCTGTGGCTACTGGTTCCAGAGCAGGGATGAACCTGGTAAGGATTCCCCGGAGATCACAGCCAGCCTCGATCAAATACTACACGGTTGAGACTCAGGGACCACTCCGCCCCTCGGGGACCCTGGACGTCTAACCGTGGTTTGAGCATCACCGACGCCTGGGTGGTGGAGACAGGAAACATTTCTTTCCACTGGAAAGAAAAGACAGGATGTAATCACTTACATGTTTGCTTTCTCTTTGAAGGACAGGTACGGAACTGCCCGTAATAAGGACGAGGATGGATGGAATGTGGGGACCCCAGGGAACCTGAATGCTATAGACCGAATTGGGCCCCTCCTCCCTGCCACATTCATATGTTGAAGCCTTAACTCCCTACATGAGTGTTATTTCAGAGTGATTGAGGTTAAAGGAGTCCATGAGGGTCTCCTTCGAAGATTGATGACCTTATAAGAAGAGGAAGAGAAAGAGAAAGCGACCTTCCCTTTCTCTGCCACCTGTTAGCCAGGAGGCGAGTTCACACCAGGAGCCAAGTCCGCTGACACCCTGATTGGGATGTCCCAGCCTCCAAAGCTGTGAGAAACACATTTCTGTTGCTTGCACCGCCCACTCCGTAAATGGAAGGAAGTCCGAGCTGACTGAGTTCCCCGTCAGCTTGCGGAATCAGACAAACCAGCCCGTCCAATCATCCTGCACGGGAACCAGGCGTCACCGCTCCCTCTGGTCACTGCAGAGCCTCCTCCCAGAGCCGAGACTTGTTCACCCCGCGGGGTGGGGCCCTCCTGTCCCGGCAGTGAGTGCGTGACTCATACACTGCTGTCTATCAGATTTGTTCAATATGGACTGTCCCAAACTCAGCCTTCCCCATGACTCCGGGGTAGGGATCCTTTCTCCTCCATCTAGTGAATAGGAAGTGATCAAAACGTCCTGGAGGCCCCACCCTGAGCCCCCGCCAGCCTCCAGGTCCAGGGTGCTGAGCTCCCCCGAGCTGGAGACAGAGGTGAGTCCACCTGCCGAGCCCAGGTCTCCGAGCCTCTCCATGTGGAGCGTGAGACGGAAGCTGGCATCTCAGCTGCCGCTGCTCAGGAGACTTGAGAGAGGATGGGGGAGGGGGAGGAGCTACTCCAGGCCAGTCGGGACCTCAGCTCAGCCAGGACGAGGCCCAATAGCTCTACCTTATTCTCAGGTTCAGCGTCAGGAATGCCTGGGACATAAACCATCTCTGCCCTGCAGTTATCAGGACGGGGGTGTGTGGGGGATGTTTCTCCTGGGGATCCCGGACCTGGAGGTGATGGGGCCTGGATGAAGGGCCTGTTCAGCATGTGGTTGAGGCACAGAGGTTCCAGGGATGAAAGACACAGGGAAGATGTGAGCAAACCCAGGGTTGAGCAACAGCAGCTGGGCTTCCCCTCTGCCATCCTTGCACTGTGTCCCGCAGTAGCCCAGCCAGGCAGACTGGAGGCTCCCGGAGCCCGTGTCTGTCCGTCCAGCCCCACCCCTAGCACAGTGAATGCTGGGGAAATGGACAAGCTGCACTCCCATTGTGGAGGTCAGAGAGCTGATGGCAAAGAGAGGGGTGCAGCTTCCGGAGATGTTTAGGTGTCTGCCCTGCACGGCCCAAAGCTACTGTCATCGTCCTCGGTGGAGGAGGGTGGTGTCAAGCAGGGGGGATTCTATAGATTCTTAGCAAGAGCAGAAGGGAGGGAGGAGGCGGGGGCAGGGAGGAGACAGAGAGAGAGAGGAACATCAATGTCACAGAGACACATCGATTGGTTTCCTCCCACACGGACCCGACCTGGGCCCGGGATTGAACCTGCAAACCCTTGACCAAGAACCAAACCGGAGAAACTTCAGTATGTAGCTGACGCTCTAACCATTGAATCGCTTCAGCCAGGGCTGAAGTTCCTCATTTGATTCGTAGTCTTCCCCAGCTTCTGTGGTCTTACCACCATCCTGATCCCACACCTTGTAGGACCGACCACAGCTTCTAGATGAGGCTGTGAACTCCTTGTCGATGCAGAAGTTGACCTGCTCCCTGGTGTAGACAACAGAGCTCAGAAAAGCCCTCTTAGGGGAGGACCTTGGGAGACGCAGGTGTCCCATCCTCAGATGTCCTCAGAGGCCCTGGTCCTGCTCCGGGGATGGAGGGAGGCTCCTGAGACAAGGCAAGACTCGGGGTGGGCTCCCTGTCTGTTTTCTGGGTGGGTGTCAACGGTCTCCGTGTGACGGGGTGCCTGCCTGCTCCGTGCAGAGACGGGAAGTGTTTTGTCTCTGAGGTTCCTCTTTCGTGACTGACCACGATCTTGTGCTCCTCCCCGGCTTCCGTGGCCTCACCACAGCCCCCGTCCCACGGCTGTCCTTCCTTCTTCATGCACAGGCGCCCAGACGCCCTCCGGAGATGCTGTGGCTGCTGCTGCCCCTGCTCTGCCCAGGTGAGTCCCAAGGGGAGAAGGTGTGGGTGGTGCCGGGATTGAGGCTGACCCTCGTTTCCCTGCAGGGTCCCTGGCACAGGTTCCAGGTAACACACTGGAAGTGCAGAAGGTTGTGTCAGTGCAGGAGGGCCTGTGCGTCTTCGTTCCCTGCAAGGTGTCCTACCCCAGGACTTCGTTTACACCAGTTCATGGCTTCTGGTTCCGGGAAGGAGATGACGCAATGAAGGGTGCTGCTGTGGCCACAAACAACCCTGATCGTGAAGTGCAGGAGGAGACCAAGGGCCGATTCCACCTCCTCGGGGATCCCCTCAAACACAACTGCTCCCTGGACATCAGAGATGTCAGGAGGACAGATAATGGATCGTACTTTTTTCGAATTGAGGGAAGCCATCCTGTGAAGTATAGTTACATATGGAACATGCTCTCTGTGCATGTGACGGGTGAGTGACAGGCTCCAGCAGAGCCCACAGTGGATGTTCACGGTGGCCCCTGGGCGGGCTGGGATAGGAGTTGCTGGACCAAAGCCTGAGGCTTCTCCCCGGGCTGCACCTGGGCCCTCCCTCCTGATCCCCTGTATCCCCCGCTCCTTGCCAGCCCTCACCCACACACCTGACATCCTCATCCCGGGGACCCTGGAGTCCGGCCGCCCCAAGAACCTGACCTGCTCTGTGCGCTGGGCCTGTGAGCGGGGCACGCCCCCCATCTTCTCCTGGACGTCAGCTGCTCACACCTCCCTGGGCCCCAGGTCTCATCATCTATCTTCCATGCTCACCCTCACCCCACGACCCCAGGACCACGGCACCATCCTTGCCTGTCAGGTGCATTTTCCTGCATCTGGTGTGACTGTGAAGACCACCGTCCAGCTCAACGTCAGCTGTGAGTGCTGGGTCCGAACCCCAGGGTCCCTGGGGGTGTGCTTGGTGCATTTTTCCTGGAAGCCTGGCTCAGCGGGGAGCCTGGAGGACACAACCATTTTTCCTCCTGCATGTTTGTTACCTCAGAAGGTGGGGGGTTGCCTCTATCATCCTCACTGCCCCCCACCTCACTGAAGAGGAAACTCTTCTCGTCCTGTCTTAGAACCCAACAACAGGCATGTGCGTGGGGACGGCACAGGTAGGAAGGAGCTCGTCATGGATTCTAGGGAGCAGAGCCTCTGCAAATCCGGCCAGAGCCGGTCCCTGCCTCATCCTGGGCCCACCTGTGGGTGAACCCCATGGTCCCTCTTTTTCCTTAGCTCCCATGGCCGTTGTGAGCAGCTGTCCCCATCAGCCCTCCACTCCCCCAGGTCTTCTCCAACTCCCCTGTCACCTGCACCAGGAGGACTAGGCACCATCCATATGACTGGCCGCCTATCGAGGCCCCTGATCCTCCATCTCCCGACACACCCTCCAGGCTCACGTTGTAACTTTCCTCCAAGAGTTGAATTTAGGTACATTTTGAACAGGTCATAGAGTCACCTGGCCAACACTTGAAAAGGCATCGAAGTCTGTCCTCCAGATACCCAGTTCCCTCCTGGAAGTGACCGGGGTCCACACAGTGAGCCATGGTTCATTCCCCTGAAGAATCAAACAGGTCTTTCGACATCACCCGGGCAGGTGTCCCCATGCCCCTCGGTGACTGGGGAACACGGACTGGGCGGGTTCTGGCTGTGTGCACATGGTTCTCTGCCGGGGAACCGTGGCGTGAAGCTGTTGTCGGAATAACAGTCCTCTGCATGGGTGGATCACATTCAGTTCACGCATTGCTCCGTTGATGGACATTTGGGTGTTTTCACTTTGGGGCTGTTATAATACCACTGTGGATATTGCTGTATAATTTTTTTTTGTTCAAATATGTTTTCTGTTTTTTCTTGTGCGTTTTTTTTCTCTTTTTTTTTCAGGTCAGAAACCTGGGAGTGGAATCACGGAGTGCAATGGTACTTATTATGTATAACTTTTTGGGGAAATTCCAGACTGTTTTCCACAGGGGTAGCATCATTTTACATTCCCACCAGCAGAGTATAAAGCTTCCAATTTGTCCGAACGATTACCAACATCGGTATTTTCCTTTTAAAAAAAAAGTATAGGCTACTAATAGGTGTGAAAGGCTCTTGTTCTGTGGCTTTGATGTGCATTTCTGTGGTAATAATGATGCCAATTATTTTTTCTCATGGAATTATGATTCATTTGTATGTCACCTTTGAAGAACTTTTTTTTTTCCAGTTTTCTGCCCATTTTTTAAAATCAGGTGTTTTGCCGTTTTGTTGTTGAGTTGTAAGAGTTCTTTATATATGCTAGATACTAATCCTTATCCATTCTATGATTAGAAAATATTTTCTCCCATTAAATGGGTTGGCTTTTCACTTTCTCCATAGTGTCAGTTGCTGAAGAGAATGTTCCATTGTTTTGAATTCCAACTTATGCATTTTATTTTCAGTCCAACTACTGGGGGTCAGGGGAGAGTCTGGGGTGAGGGCCCAGGTGATCCCGCAGCCAGTGAGGCCGGAAGACCTGGAGAACAACATCTAGGGTCCTAGCAGGAGCAGAAGGACACAGGACTGCTGTCGAGCAGGTGACTCCATCTTCTTCCCTCTTTCCAGCAGGATCATCAGGGCCTGGGGCAGAGGTGGTGCTGGTGGCCATCATGGGGACAGTTGTGAAGACTCTGCTCCTCTTCCTCTGCCTCATCATCCTCATGTGAGCTCAGCCCCAAGGGGAAGGGGAGGCATGCGGCTGAGTCTACAACCAAGGCCTGGGGTCCCGATGGGTCAGGCACAGAGCCAGCAGGAAGGGTGGTGGGTGAGGACTTCACGTGGTCAGTTGTCATGCATGCCAAGGGCTCAAGGTGAGAGGTACCTGCAGTGCTGAGGGTCTGTGGGGCCAGACCCACCCTCTGCTCTTCAGTCTCCCCTCTAGCCCCTGGACAGGGAACAGGGGGGTGGGTCTGCTGCCACTGCACCCTGATCCGACCAGATTGAAAGACCCTGGTCTTTTCCCTCAGAGTCATGTGCCACAGGAGGAAGGCACTGAGGCCCAAAGGGTCTCATGAAGGATGCAAACACACCATCTCAGGTTAATCTGTCAGGTGAGTGGTATAGGTATCTCACCACACAACATTCCACTGCCCCTTCCCCCAGGGAGGCCCCTGGGATTGCTCCTCTCAGCATTGATAAAATGGAGCTGTCATCTTTCTCCCCAAACCCACTTCTCTGCTGGACTCCCCGCCAGAGCGATGACAGGGCTGCCCCGTTTCTAAGACCCCATCTGGGGTGCAGTTCTGTACTTTGCCCCTCCTCCCTTCCCCCTGATCTACTAAGACGTGTCCATCCTTCTTTCTAATCACAGGTCGGCGTAATGGCCACCTTCTCCTCCTAGTGACCTTGATAGTTCCTGTGGCCTAATCTCTTCCCCGGGTCTCTGACCCCACCAACCTCCTGCCTCCAGATTGTGTTTCCAGAGACATAAAGTCCACGTTCTGCACAGTTTGAGCAGTGACGTTTCCGCTTCTTGGCTAGAGATGAGGTGCAAATGCTACAGGCTGGATCTGAAGGCCTGGCATGGTCTGTCCTCCTCCAGACCCTACACCGGACTCTACGTCTCCCCGAATCTCGCAGCCCCTCCACCTACAACCAGGCCCAAGACTTTATGATTCGGAGACTTTACATGTGCAGTTCCTCCAGCTGCAATGCTCTCTGTCTCCATTCCTACATGTCCAAGTGCTGATCACACTTCAGGCTCAGTGAACATCACTGCATGCCCTGGCCCGTATGGCTCAGCAGTCAGAGTGTCGACCTGTGGAGCAAAGAGCGGTAGGTTCGATTCCGGTCAAGGGCACAGTCCCCAGCCCTAGTCTCGGTCATGCTGTAGGCAACCAGTCCATGTGTCTCTCTCACATTGATGTTTCTCTCCCCCCACCCCCCACTCTGAAGATTAATGGAAAAATATCCTTGGTTGAGGATTAAAAAATAAAGAAAAAATCACCTCATTATATTATGTGAGTGTGTGTGTGTGTGTGAGATTCTTGTATGGTTTTGAAAACAATATTTAGTCATTTACATGCAGACTCTTTATCATGCATAACTGAATACCTACTGTGCGCCAGCATTGTTGTAGATACTCGGGGTACACCTATAAACCCAGCATCAAACACCTCTGTCATCCAGAAAAATAGAATTTAAAATTACTAAATAAAAATGTTAGAGCCTGCTCTGGACAGTGTGGCTCAGCTGTTGGAGCATCAACCCCCGGACCAAAGATTTGCGGGTTCGATTCCAGTCAAGGGCATGCACATTGGTTGCAATTCGATCTCCAGCCCTGGTCGGGGTCTTGCAGGGGGCAACCAATTGGTGTGTCTCTCTAAAATCCATGTTTCTCTCTCTCTCCCTCTCTCCCTCTGTCACACACACACAGTCCTTCACACTCTGTTTGAAAATCAATGGAAAAATACCTTCAGGTGAGGATTTTTAAAAATTATATATATATATTAGAGCCTGTGGGATGGTACTATGTGTTTAGGGAGGAATCATGCAAGGAAAAGATCAGGTGACATGCATGTGGACAATTCCCAACATCTAAGGGTATGAGCTGTGAGTTAAGGGCAAGACTTGAGGACGGTGAGAGCGGACTTGGTGTTTCCCTAAAGATTAGCCGGGAAGATGAGGAGCAGCTCTGAGGCACAAGCAGCCTGGGGTGGTGTGGAAACAAATCTCAGAGTGGACAGCACAGGGCCACCTGGGAGAGAAGATGCTGGTTGGGGCACAGGCCCAATGGTGTGCAGCCTGGGAGGCCTTGCCGCAAATGCAGGAATCTGGAGAACTTTGAGGAGAGCAGAGACATGATTGAATGTTCTTTCTACCAGGATCCCTAGCTGCTCTCTTCAGCATAGGCCAAAGTGGATCCATAGCATCCAGAGATTGGGGAGGGCACGGGACGCAGGAAGGGATGGCGGTTGAACCAGGGAGGTGAAGTGGACGGCAAGGTTTTATTTTTGGATATATTTTGAAGTTCAAGTTGATTGAGTTTTCTATTGGATATGAAGGTTGAGGGAAAGACAACAGCGAGGATGGTGCCCAACTGTTTCCCTTGAGCCTCGGAAAGGATGGGTAGGGTTTCATGGACACGGAGGGGAGGGATTTCAGAGTGATGTTCATTCTGTGAAGTCACTTCCTAGCCCACTGGGAACGGCCAGGAGAGAGCTGGTGTGAGAGTCTGGAGATCAGGAGAGGGCTCCAGACGGGAGAGGTGAACACATATAGTCAGTGTCAGATGATGACAACAGGTGAGGAAGAGGAAGTTCTGATGGCACACGGAGAAGAAAGACACAAGGAAACAATGCCATTGGAGGTCCTGGTAACAGGGGCTTCAGTGGCTGGTGAGGAAGTTGTGAAGATGTGGCTGGAGCATCTTCAGAGAGAATTGGAAGAGGGGATGTGGGAAGAGTGGGTCCTCCAAACCCTTGGAGGTATTTAGCTGCAAAGAGAAACAGGAATGGGTCCGGCGAAGGTGGTCTCTGCTCAATTCCTTCTCCGCGTTCCCCCTAAGGTGCCCCACGACTTCCCCTCTGTGTTGGTTTCCTGGAGCCATCGTGACAAATGATCACACATTCAACATCTTTAGGAAAAACAAAATTTATTCTTTTCATGTTTGAGGCCAGGATATGCACAGGGAGTAAAATATCTTCTGCCTCTGTCCTTCTAAGTTCTTGACTGAGACAAAGAAAGATTAGGTGCCACCTCTTGGGCTAATGTGTCCTGAACTTTGGCATCTGCCATGAGTTGGGTTCTGTAGAAGTGCAGCTGTTGGTTGGGAGGCACTGTCTCCAGAGGCTCAAGGAGAGAATCCATCTCTTGCTTTTATCAGGTGATATGGCTGCCGGTTGTCCTTGGCTTGTGGCAGCATCACTGCAGTCTGTCTCCTGGTCACATCACCTCACCCTGCTGTGTGTGTAGAAAGTCACCTCTTGCTTCTTTCTTCTTGGACACTGTGACTGGATCCAGGGACCAATGCTAATAATCGAACATGATCTCCAGGTCAAGATCCTTACCTTCATTCCATCTGCACAAACCCTTTTTCCTTATAAGGTCTCATTTGCAGGTTTCAGGGATTAAAATCCTGCCATCTTTGGATGGCCATCATTCAGCCCTCTGCACTGCCCATGTGACCTTTTGCACCCCCTGAATGTCCCCATCTGACCTCCAGATTTTGTTTGCTCTGCTTTTTCATGCTCAAATGCATTTGTGGGTGACCTCAGGAGCAGCACATGTTTTGAGAACCAGGAGCTTACTGTTCTGTAAAAGCCACCACGACTGACAAACCTCAGAGGCGGGGGCGGGGGTAGGGATGAGATAAATGAAAGAACTTATATGCACGTATGTGTAACCAATGGACATAGATAACAATGCTGGGGGTGGGGGTCAGGGCGGGATCTGGAGAAGGATGTCTGGGGGGGATGAGAATACTTGAAACAAAAATAAATTAATAAAAATTACAAAAAAAGAGAAAAAAATTAAAGAAAATAAAGGCGACCTTTACGATGACAAAAATAAAAGAGAGACGAGAGAGAGAGTTAAAGGAAAGGTTACAGACTTGGAGAAAATATGTGCAAATACACATGTGATGAATAACAACATGTATCCAGAAAATATTCAGGACTCTCAACAAAGCAATAAATAATAAATAAACCTAGTTTTATTATTTTATTTTAATTTTTAATTTTTTTCATTTTTTGTTCAGATTGAGTGGGAGGGAGAGAAAAGAGGAGAGAGAGAGAGAAACATCAACATAAAAAGGACACATCGAGTGGTTTTCACCCGCACGACCCAAGCAGGGCCAGAGACAGACTGCAACCGAGGTACATGCCCTTAGCGGTAACCGAACCTGGGCCTCTCTGGACCGCAGGCTGATACTCTAGCCACTGAGCAAAACAGGCCAGGGCTGGTTTTATTTTTTTTTAAAGTCATTCAACAACAAAACCAACAACCCAATTTAAAATTTGGCTTATGATTTGAATAGACATTTTATAAAGATATATGCACAACATCACTACTACAGGAAAACATAAATTAATACCACACAACAAGGTACTGCCATTATTATTATTGATGGTTATTATTATTTTTGAAACCCCCAAAAACGGGAAATAAACACACATGGGGTGAATATGGAGAAAAGGAAACTCTTGTGCTTTGCTCTCTAGTCCAAAACTGTGCATCTACTTTAAAAAACAGTATGGCAGTTTGTTACCTACAAAAGAGCTTTCATAAGACTGTCAGCTGATTTCTCAAAAGCAACTTTGCAGGCCAGAAAGGAGTGGCGAGAGATAGCCAAGGTGACGAAAAGCAACGACCTACAACCAAGACTACTCTATCCTGCAAAGCTATCGCGTAGAATCCATGGACATATCAAGAGCTTCCCAGACAAGAAAAAGCTGAAGGAGCTCATCACCACCAAACCGGTATTATCCGGAATGTTGAAGGGTCTTCTTGAAGGAGAAGAAGAACAATAATATGAACAACTAAATGCAAATTAATACATAGCTATCAACAATGGAGTCTACAAACAAAATGAGCAAGCAGAACAGAAACAGACTCATAGATACAGAGAACTCTTTGTTGCTTGCCAGAGGGGTGGGGGCTGAGGGGATGGGTGAAAAAGATGAAGGAATTAAGAAGTACAAATTGGTTGTTAGAATGATGAACCTCAAAGGGAAGGGGGGAGGGAGGGCAGGATGAGATAAACCGAAAAACTTCTATGCTTATATTTATAAACATTAGATACTGACAATAGTGTGAGGAAGGCTGGAGGGGGGCAGAACTGGGGAGGCGGGGGTCAATGAAGCAAAAAAGGAGGAACATCTATAATACATTCAACAATAGAGATGAGTTAAAAACCAATTTAAAAAAACCCACATAAGTAATTTTTTTAAATAAATAAAATAAAATAAAAAACAGTATGGCAGGTCCTCAAAACATTAAAAATAGAATTACCATTTCATCCAGTAATTTCAATTCTGGGTATTTACCCAGAGGGCTGAAACCAGGAACTAGATAGATGATTAGATACAGATAAACATATAAATATAGATATAGATATAGATATAGATATAGATGATATAGATATAGATGATATAGATATAGATATAAACACATAGATATATCTGTTCATAGTAGCATTATTCACAATTAGGCAAAAATAATCCAAGGGCCCATTGATGAAGAAACAGATAAACACAAGCTGGTATACACATACAAGGGAATGTTGTTCAGTCTCAAAAACAGACGGACATTCTGACTCACGCTGTAGTGCAACAAGCCAGTCACACAAGGACAGATACTGTGTGATGCCACCTATATGAAGTACCTAGAGTAGCAAATTCACAGACACAGAATACAGCATGGTGGTTGCCAGCATCTGGAGGGATGGAGATCTATTTTTTTCAGGGGCGCAGTGAGTTCGTTTGGGAAAAGTGACAAAAGTTCTAGAGATGGATAGTGGTGATGGTCACACAAAAATGTGAATGTATGTAATGACACTTGGCCCAGACAATTGAAATGTTTTTGTTAAGTATGTGTTACCATAATTTTAAAAAACAGGTAACAATTTTATCAGCTGTTTCACCAAAGAAGGAAAATAGTGGCAACTAAGCTTGTGAAAATATGCTTAATATCACACATTATTTTAAAATAACATATTAAAACCAGGAAGAGATATAACATAATCTTACTTAGTGACAACACATTATGAACTACAGATACATAGAACTTGGATCAATTCCACAAATATTATGCTGAGTGAGAGAATATACACACAAATCAGTACATTTATAGCAATACTCCTATAGACAGAATTAATGCACCAAGACAGAAGGGGTATCAGTGGTTACCTGGGGTTGGAGGTGGTGGTGCTGAAATACAAAGACATGGGGGAAAGTCCCACGGTAGTGGAAATGTTCTGTATCTTGATTGTGGAGGTATACGTTTGTTCATAGAATGTACTCAAGTGGGTGCATTTTGTTTTATGTAAATTATGAAACTCTTTAAAGAAACACAATGAGAACTCGCAGAATCTTCCCTTCCATTAACATGGTATAACTTTCTTAACTATACAATAAATTGTACTGGGTTTTCTATTACATGGTATGTTGTTACTTTTTGTTGTTGCTGCTGTTAATCCTCACCCAACAATATTTTTTCCGTGAATTTTTAGAGAGAGTGGGGATGGGGGAGAAAGAAGAGACAGAAACATCAATGTGAAACACATCGACAGATTGCCTCCCACACGACCCTGACCCAGGCCAGGAATCAAACCTGCAGCCCAGGTATATGCCCTTGGCTGGAAATCAAACCCATGACCCTTCTGTGCATGGGCCAATACTCTAACCACTGAGACACACCATCCAGTGCTATATTCTTACTTTTAAACAACCTAGAACAAGATCTCATTTTATTTATTGGAGACTCAATTTCTTATACATCAAATGAGGGTGCAAACATCTCTCTGTACTGGTAAAACTGATACATCTCTCTAGATACTACTGTGTCTGAAAGATTTTACAAATATGACAGACGCTTTTATGTCGTCAAGGTCAACAATTTGTCAGACGCATGTGCCACAGATTCAGATGAAAAACCATGTGAACTGAACCTAAATTATCATTGTAGCTGCATAGTCCACTCACATTTCCTAGAAACAGCACGTTTGGAGCCACACTTAACTGTGAGAAGCATCTTCTTCATCAGTTCTTACACATTTTAATTTTATGTAGAAATTAGACCCCTCCTAGTCCCACTTAGAATTTGAGGTGACTTACAATGTTATAGCACATCTAAGATAACAATTCTTTTTAGGCCGAACAGAAATCATCTAGGTAAGAAGACATCCTTGTACCAGAAAGCTAGATTAACACTGTTTCTGAAATGAAATACTAGCTCTATCCCTGAGATGCTTGGCAGCCGTAACAGGGGACATAGAAAACCTTTCGTCTGAGAAAACAAGTATGTGCTTCCTGTGAAAGGCAAATATTACCTTATTGCTGAAGACCCGGATCAACAGAATCCATATGGTAAGAATGTTGCATAACATAACGAGAACACTTGAACGTACTGTAAACCACAATTTGTCCTGGACTATTGGAGAACTTGAAGCAGAGTTTTTCCGAGACGGGAGATGCTCATCTGTGTGACAAGCAACTTCAGCAGTCTCCCCAGTTTACATACACTGGGGGGTGAGAATTATAGAAAGGAGTTTCCCAACCTGGCTCGTGGAACATGGAGTCTCCCTTCGTTTGACAGGATGATGCAACATCGTCTTCACTTTGGAGATACGATGGAAAATTCACGAATCAGCAATGAGATACAAAACAAAACAAAAACCCACACTTGTATTTTTAGAAAACACCCAGCAAGCCGCCAGGACACGTGGTAAACTCATCGGTGAGCACAGGTCTGAAGCTCAACAGTACCGTTTGGGGGGAGGTGGTGTCACTGGGTGGGGAGCATCTCACGGCATAGACCAGGTCCATGTATCCCTTCTTGTCTTGTTCAGGGAACCAACCCTTAGGTGTTCACTAAGTGGTTTGTGAATGAATGAATGAATCCTGCCTTCACTTTACTTGGGAACTGCCCTTCTGTTCCTCTGCCATGGACTCTCACATGGACATTAATGAATCCTACACCTTGTAGGACCGACCACAGCTTCTAGATGAGGCTGTGAACTCCTTGTCAATGCAGAAGTTGATCTGCTCCCTGGTGTAGACAACAGAGCTCAGAAAAGCCCTCTTAGGGGAGGACCTTGGGAGACGCAGGTGTCCCATCCTCAGATGTCCTCAGAGGCCCTGGTCCTGCTCCGGGGATGGAGGGAGGCTCCCGAGACGAGGCAAGACTCAGGATGTGCTCCCTGTCTGTTCTCCGGGTGGGTGTCAACGGTCTCCGTGTGACGGGGTGCCTGCCTGCTCCGTGCAGAGACGGGAAGTGTTTTGTCTCTGAGGTTCCTCTTTCGTGACTGACCACGATCTTGTGCTCCTCCCCGGTTTCCGTGGTCTCACCACAGCCCCTGTCCACGGCTGTCCTTCCTTCTTCATGCACAGGCGCCCAGACGCCCTCCGGAGATGCTGTGGCTGCTGCTGCCCCTGCTCTGCCCAGGTGAGTCCCGAGGGGAGAAGGTGTGGGTGGTGCCGAGATGGAGGCTGACCCTCGTTTCCCTGCAGGGTCCCTGGCACAGCATCCAGATTACACACTGGAAGTGCAGAAGGCTGTGACAGTGCAGGAGGGCCTGTGCGTCTTCGTTCCCTGCAATGTGCGATATGGACGGACTACGGATACACCAGCTCATGGCTTCTGGTTCCGGGAAGGAAATGATGCAATGCAGGGTGCTGCTGTGGCCACAAACAACCCTGATCGTGAAGTGAAGGAGGAGACCAAGGGCCGATTCCAACTCCTCGGGGATCCCCTCAAAAACAACTGCTCCCTGGACATCAGAGATGTCAGGAGGACAGATAATGGATCGTACTTTTTTCGGGTGGAGGGAAGATATCCTCTGAAGTATAGTTACATACAGAACATGCTCTCTGTGCATGTGACGGGTGAGTGACAGGCTCCAGCAGAGCCCACAGTGGAAGTTCACGGTGGCCCCGGGCAGGGCTGGGATAGGAGTTGCTGGACCAAAGCCTGAGTCTTCTCCCCGGGCTGCACCTGGGCCCTCCCTCCTGATCCCCTGTATCCCCTGCTCCTCGCCAGCCCTCACCCACACACCTGACATCCTCATCCCGGGGACCCTGGAGTCCGGCCGCCCCAGGAACCTGACCTGCTCTGTGCCCTGGGCCTGTGAGCGGGGCACGCCCCCCATCTTCTCCTGGACGTCAGCTGCTCACACGTCCCTGGGCCCCAGGAACCACCTCTCTTCTGAGCTCACTCTCACTCCACGGCGCCAGGACCACGGCACCAACCTCACCTGTCAGGTGAAGTTCCCTGCAGTAGGTGTGACTGTGGAGACCACCATCCAGCTCAACGTCAGCTGTGAGTGCTGGGTCCGAACCCCAGGGTCCCTGGGGGTGTGCAGAGGTGGACGGCCAGGCTGGTGTGGTTGGTGAGGTTTTTCCTGGAGGCCTGGCTCAGTAGGGGGGCCTAGAGGACACAGCCCTGTCCCTCTTGCATTTTCAGTACCTCTCGGAGTTGGGATATGCCTACACATATCCCCTCATGTCACCTCACTGAAGAGGGAACTTCTCTTCCTGTTCTAGGTGCCTCACAGAAGTCAACAGTGGGTGACTGCCTAGGAGATGGCACAGGTAGATAGGAACCTCCCTTCCATGGGCATTGGCTGCAGTGGGGTCTCTACTTGGTGGATTCAGGGCTGTACCTCCAGAGCGCAACAGGCGTACAGTTAGGCCTGCAAACCCCCTATCAGGCCTGTTCCCCAACAATCTTCTTCTGCTGTCTTCCAGGGTGACCCGTAACCTCCTCCCTGCCCATCCTAAAAGATGATGTTTGGCCCTGGCCGGTTTGCCTCAGCGGTTAGAGCATCAGCCTGTGGTCCAGAGAGACCTGGGTTCGATTCCCGCTGAGGGCATGTACCTCGGTTGCAGTTTGTCCCCGTCCCTGGGGGTGTGCTTGGTGCATTTTTCCTGGAAGCCTGGCTCAGCGGGGAGCCTGGAGGACACAGCCTTTTTTCCTCCTGCATGTCTGTTGCCTCTGAAGGTGGGGGGTTGCCTCTATTCTCCTCACTGCCCCCCACCTCACTGAAGAGGAAACTCTTCTCGTCCTGTCTTAGAACCCAACAACAGGCATGTGCCTGGGGACGGCACAGGTAGGAAGGAGCTCGTCATGGATTCTAGGGAGCAGAGCCTCTGCAAATCCGGCCAGAGCCGGTCCCTGCCTCATCCTGGGCCCACCTGTGGGTGAACCCCATGGTCCCTCTTTTTCCTTAGCTCCCATGGCCGCTGTGAGCAGCTGTCCCCATCAGCCCTCCACTCCCCCAGGTCTTCTCCAACTCCCCTGTCACCTGCACCAGGAGGACTAGGCACCATCCATATGACTGGCCGCCTCTTGAGGCCCCTGCTCCTCCATCTCCTGACACACCCTCCAGGCTCACGTTTTAACTTTCCTCCAAGAGTTGAATTTAGGTACATTTTGAACAGGTCATAGAGTCACCTGGCCAACACTTGAAAAGGCACCGAAGTCTGTCCTCCAGATACCCAATTCCCTCCTGGAAGTGACCGGGGTCCACACAGTGAGCCGTGGTTCATTCCCCTGAAGAATCAAACAGATCTTTCGACATCACCCGGGCAGGTGTCCCCATGCCCCTCGTGACTGGGGAGCACTCCACGGACTGGGCGGGTTCTGGCTGTGTGCACATGGTTCTCTGCCGGGGAACCGTGGCGTGAAGCTGTTGTCGGAATAACAATCCTCTGCATCGGTGGATCACATTCAGTTCACACATTGCTCCGTTGATGGACATTTGGGTATTTTCACTTTGGGGCTGTTATAATACCGCTGTGGATATTGCTGTATACTTTTTTTTGTTCAAATATGTTTTCTGTTTTTTCCTGCGGTTTTTTTTTTTTCAGATCAGAAACCTGGGAGTGGAATTGCGCAGTGCATTGGTACTTATTATGTATAACTTTTTGAGGAAATTCCAGACTGCTTTCCACAGGGGCACCACATTTTACATTCCCACAAGCAGAGTATAAAGCTTCCAATTTGTCCGAACAATTATTAACATCGGTATTTTCCTTTTAAAAAAAAAGTATAGGCTACTAATAGGTGTGAAAGGCTCTTGTTCTGTGGCTTTGATTTGCATTTCTGTGGTAATAACGATGCCAATTATGTTTTCTCATGGAATTATTATTCATTTGTATGTCACCATTGAAGAACTTTTTTTTCCCCCCAGTTTTCTGCCCATTTTTTAAAATCAGGTGTTTTGACGTTTTGTTGTTGAGTTGTAAGAGTTCTTTATATATGCTAGATACTAATCCTTATCCATTCTATGATTAGCAAATATTTTCTCCCATTAAATGGGTTGGCTTTTCACTTTCTCCATAGTGTCAGTTGCTGAAGAGAATGTTCCATTTTTTTGAATTCCAACTTAGGCATTTTATTTTCAGTCCAACTACTGGGGGTCAGGGGAGAGTCTGGAGTGAGGGCCCAGGTGATCCCGCAGCCAGTGAGGCCGGAAGACCTGGAGAACAACATCTAGGGTCCTAGCAGGAGCAGAAGGACACAGGACTGCTGTCGAGCAGGTGACTCCATCTTCTTCCCTCTTTCCAGCAGGATCATCAGCGCCTGGGGCAGAGGTGGTTCTGGAGGCCATCATGGGGGTAGTTGTGAAGACTCTGCTCCTCTTCCTCTGCCTCATCATCCTCATGTGAGCTCAGCCCCAAGGGGAAGGGGAGGCATGCGGCTGAGTCTACAACCAGGGCCTGGGGTCCCGATGGGTCAGGCACAGAGCCAGCAGGAAGGGTGGTGGGTGAGGACTTCCCGTGGTCAGTTGTCATGCATGCCAAGGGCTCAGGGTGAGAGGTACCTGCAGTGCTGAGGGTCTGTGGGGCCAGACCCACCCTCTGCTCTTCAGTCTCCCCTCTAGCCCCTGGACAGGGAACAGGGGGGTGGGTCTGCTGCCACTGCACCCTGATCCGACCAGATTGAAAGACCCTGGTCTTTTCCCTCAGAGTCATGTACCACAGGAGGAAGGCACTGAGGCCCAAAGGGTCTCAGGAAGGATGCAAACACACCATCTCAGGTTAATCTGTCAGGTGAGTGGTATAGGTATCTCACCACACAACATTCCACTGCCCCTTCCCCCAGGGAGGCCCCTGGGATTGCTCCTCTCAGCATTGATAAAATGGAGCTGTCATCTTTCTCCCCAAACCCACTTCTCTGCTGGATTCCCCGTCAGAGCGATGACAGGGCTGCCTCCGTGTCTAAGGCCCCATCTGGGGTGCGGTTCTCTTCTTTGCCCCTCCTCCCTTCCCCCTGATCTACTAAGACGTGTCCATCCTTCTTTCTAATCACAGCTCGGCGTAATGGCCACCTTCTCCTCCTCGTGACCTTGATAGTTCCTGTGGCCTAATCTCTTCCCCGGGTCTCTGACCCCACCAACCTCCTGCCTCCAGATTGCGTTTCCAGAGACATAGAGTCCACGTTCTGCACAGTTTGAGCAGTGACGTTTCCGCTTCTTGGCTAGAGATGAGGTGCAAATGCTACAGGCTGGATCTGAAGGCCTGGCGTGGTCTGTCCTCCTCCAGACCCTCCACCGGACTCTACGTCTCCCCGAATCTCGCAGCCCCTCCACCTACAACCAGGCTCAAGACTTTATGATTCGGAGACTTTACATGTGCAGGTCCTCCAGCTGCAATGCTCTCTGTCTCCATTCCTACATGTACTGGTGCTGATCACACTTCAGGCTCAGTGAATATCACTGCATGCCTGGCCCGTTTGGCTCAGCAGTCAGAGTGTCGGCCTGTGGAGCAAAGAGCCGTAGGTTGGATTCCGGTCAAGGGAACAGTCCCCAGCCCTAGTCTCGGTCATGCAGTACGCAACCAGTCCATGTGTCTCTCTCACATCAATGTTTCTCTCCCTCCACCCACTACTCTGAAGATTAATGGAAAAATATTCTTGGGTGAGGATTAAAAAATAAAGTTAAAGTCACCTCATTATATGTGTGTGAGTGTGTGTGTGTGTGTGTGTGATTCTTGTATGGTTTTGAAAACAATATTTAGTCATTTACATGCAGACTCTTTATCATGCATAACTGAATACCTACTGTGCGCCAGCATTGTTGTAGATATTCGGGGTACACCTATGAACCCAGCATCAATCACCTCTGTCATCCAGAAAAATAGAATTTAAAATTACTAAATAAAAATGTTAGAGCCTGCCCTGGACTGTGTGGCTCAGCAGTTGGAGCATCAACCACTGGACCAAAGAGTTGCGGGTTCAACTCTAGTCAAGGGCATGCACATTGATTGCAATTCGATCCCCAGCCCTGGTCGGGGTCTTGCAGGGGGCAACCAATTGGTGTGTGTCTCTCACATCCATGTTTTTCTCTCTCTCCCTCTCTCCCTCTTTCACACACACACACTCCTTCACACTCTGTTTGAAAATCAATGGAAAAATACCTTCAGGTGAGGATTTTTAAAAATTATATATATATATATTAGAGCCTGTGGGATGGTACTATGTGTTTAGGGAGGAATCATGCAAGGAAAAGATCAGGTGACATGCCTGTGGACAATTCCCAACATCTAAGGGTCTGAGCTGTGAGTTAAGGGCAAGACTTGAGGATAGTGAGAGCGGACTTGGTGTTTCCCTAAAGATTAGCCGAGAAGATAAGGAGCAGCTCTGAGGCACAAGCAGCCTGGGGTGGTGTGGAAACAAATCTCAGAGTGGACAGCACAGGGCCACCTGGGAGAGAAGATGCTGGTTGGGGCACAGGCCCGATGGTGTGCAGCCTGGGAGGCCTTGCCGCAAATGCAGGAATCTGGAGAACTTTGAGGAGAGCAGACACATGATTGAATGCTCTTTCTACCAGGATCCCTAGCTGCTCTCTTCAGCATAGGCCAAAGTGGATCCATAGCATCCAGAGATTGGGGAGGGCACGGGAGGCAGAAAGGGATGGCAGTTGAACCAGGGAGGTGAAGTAGACGGCAAGGTTTTATTTTTGGATATATTTTGAAGTTCAAGTTGATTGAGTTTTCTATTGGATATGAAGGTTGAGGGAAAGGCAACAGCGAAGATGGTGCCCAACTGTTTCCCTTGAGCCTCGGAAAGGATGGGTAGGGTTTCATGGACACAGAGGGGAGGGATTTCAGAGTGATGTTCATTCTGAGAAGTCACTTCCTAGCCCCCTGGGGACGTCCAGGAGAGAGCTGATGTGAGAGTCTGGAGATCAGGAGAGGGCTCCAGACGGGAGAGGTGAACACATATAGTCAGTGTCAGATGATGACAACAGGTGAGGAAGAGGAAGTTCTGATGGCACACGGAGAAGAAAGACACAAGGAAACAATGCCATTGGAGGTCCTGATAACAGGGGCTTCAGTGGCTGGTGAGGAAGTTGTGAAGATGTGGCTGGAGCATCTTCAGAGAGAATTGGAAGAGGGGATGTGGGAAGAGTGGGTCCTCCAAACCCTTGGAGGTATTTAGCTGCAAAGAGAAACAGGAATGGGTCCGGCGAAGGTGGTCTCTGCTCAATTCCTTCTCCGCGTTCCCCCTAAGGTGCCCCACGACTTCCCCTCTGTGTTGGTTTCCTGGAGCCATCATGACAAATGATCACACATTCAGCGTCTTTAGAAAAAAGAAAATTTATTCTTTTCATGTTTGAGGCCAGGATCTGCACAGGGAGTAAAAATACCTTCTGCCCCTGTCCTTCTAAGTTCTTGACTGAGACAAAGAAAGATTAGGTGCCACTTCTTGGGCTAATGTGTCCTGAACTTTGGTATCTGCCATGAGTTGGGTTCTGTAGAAGTGCAGCTGTTGGTTGGGAGGCACTGTCTCCAGAGGCTCAAGGAGAGAATCCATCTCTTGCTTTTACCAGGTGATATGGCTGCCGGTTGTCCTTGGCTTGTGGCAGCATCACTGCAGTCTGTCTCCTGGTCACATCACCTCACCCTGCTGTGTGTGTAGAAAGTCACCTCTTGCTTCTTTCTTCTTGGACACTGTGACTGGATTCAGGGACCAATGCTAATAATCGAACATGATCTCCAGGTCAAGATCCTTACCTTCATTCCATCTGCACAGACCCTTTTTCCTTATAAGGTCTCATTTGCAGGTTTCAGGGATTAAGATTCTGCCATCTTTGGATGGCCATCATTCAGTCCTCTGCACTGCACATGTGACCCTTTGCACCCCCTGAATATCCCCTTCTGGCCTCCAGATTTTGTTTGCTCTGCTTTTTCATGCTCAAATGCATTTGTGGGTGACCTCAGGAGTAGCACATGTTTTAAGAACTAGGAGCTTACTGTTCTGTAAAAGCCACCACGACTGACAAACCTCAGCGGAGGGGGCGGGGGTAGGGATGAGATTAATGAAAGAACTTATATGCACGCATGTGTAACCAATGGATATAGATAACAATGCTGGGGGTGGGGGTCAGGGTGGGATCTGGAGAAGGATGTCTGGGGGGGATGAGAATACATGTAACAAAAATAAATTAATAAAAATTACAAAAAAAAAAGAGAAAAAAATTAAATAAAATAAACGCGACCTTTACGATGGTCAAAAAAAAGGACACGAGAGAGAGAGAGAGAGAGAGATAAAGGAAACGTTACAGACTTGGAGAAAATATGTGCAAATACATACGTGATGAATAACAACATGTATCCAGAATATATTCAGAACTCTCAACAGCCCTGGCCGGTTTGGCTCAGCGGTTGGAGCGTCGGCCTGCGGTCCTGAGAGACCCGGGTTCGGTTCCTGCTAAGGGCATGTACCTCGGTTGCAGTTTGTCCCCGGCCCTGGTTGGTCATGCGGGTGGCAGCCACTCGATGTGTCCCTTTCACGTCGATGTTCTCTCTCTCTCTCTGTTCCTCTCTCTCTCCTCCCACTCTACCTGAACAAAAAAATGAGAAATGTCCCTCGGGTGAGGATAACTCTCAACAAAGCAATAAATAAAAAATAAACCCAGTTTTATTATTTTATTTTAATTTTTAATTTTTTCATTTTTTGTTCAGATAGAGTGGGAGGGAGAGAAAAGAGGAGAGAGAGAGAGAAACATCAACATAAAAGGGACACATCGAGTGGTTTCCACCCGCACGACCCAAGCAGCGCCGGAGACAAAGTGTAACCGAGGTACATGCCCTTAGCGGTAACCGAACCTGGGCCTCTCTGGACCGCATGCTGATGCTCTAACCACTGAGAAAAACAGGCCAGGGCTGGTTTTATTTTTTTTTAAAGTCATTCAACAACAAAACCAACAACCCAATTTAAAATTTGGCTTATGATTTGAATAGACATTTTATAAAGATATATGCACAACATCACTACTACAGGAAAATAAAAATTAAAACCACAGAACAAGGTACTGCCATTATTACTATTGTTGGTTATTATTATTTTTGAAACCCTAACAAACAGGAAATAAAAACAGATGGAGTGAATATGGAGAAAAGGAAACTCTTGTGCTTTGCTCTCTAGTCCAAAACTGTGCATCTACTTTAAAAAACAGTATGGCAGTTCGTTACCTACAAAAGAGCTTTCATAAGACCGACAGCTGATTTCTCAAAAGCAACTTTGCAGGCCAGAAAGGAGTGGCGAGAGGTAGCCATGGTGATGAAAAGCAACGACCTACAACCAAGACTACTCTATCCTGCAAAGCTATCGCGTAGAATCCATGGACATATCAAGAGCTTCCCAGACAAGAAAATGCTGAAGGAGTTCATCACCACCAAACCAGTATTATCGGGAATGTTGAAGGATCTTCTTGAAGGAGAAGAACGAAAATATGAACAACTAAATGGAAATTAATACATAGCTATCAACAATGGAGTCTACAAACAACATGAGCAAGCAGAACAGAAACAGACTCATAGATACAGAGAACTTTTTGTTGCTTGCCAGAGGGGTGGGGGCTGAGGGGATGGGTGAAAAAGATGAAGGAATTAAGAAGTACAAATTGGTTGTTAGAATGATGAACCTCAAAAGGAAGGGGGGAGGGAGGGCAGGATGAGATAAACCGAAAAACTTCTACGCTTATATTCATAAACAATAGATACTGACAATAGTGTGAGGAAGGCTGGAGGGGGGCAGAACTGGGAAGGCGGTGGTCAATGAAGCAAAAAAGGAGGAACATCTATAATACATTCAACAATAGAGATGAGTTAAAAACCAATTTAAAAAAAACCCACAAAAGTAATTTTTTTAAATAAATAAAATAAAATAAAAAACAGTATGGCAGGTCCTCAAAACATTAAAAATAGAATTACCATTTCATCCAGTAATTTCAATTCTGGGTATTTACCCAGAGGGCTGAAACCAGGAACTAGATAGATGATTAGATATAGATAAACATATAAATATAGATATAGGTATAGATATAGATAT